GCACGATATTGGGAAATCCTCAACGACGTTTCTAATTTTAGAGCCGGATATTAGCCCCGATATCGCGGAGCCGTCAAGCTCCGGTGATCGTACCGAACCGCGCGCGATCGAAGAAAAACTCGAATAGTCGAAATTCGTCCGAGTATTCCAACATTTTGGACGACTAATTGTAAGAACGTTGTCGCCGACGACTCTCCGAACCCGATGGAACCCATCCTGGAGCTCATGAATCGCAAAGCAGTCGTATGAACCGTAATTGCGGAAGATCGTTTCGCGAATTTTCGTACTACCGGGGGCCAAGCGTTTCGTATGCGCTCCAAATTGCTGTAATGACGGCGCGCCGACGCAAAAAGCTCTTCGTTCGCGGAAAGCGCTCTGCTTCCCCTCTTTCCCCCTGTCCATTCGTGTCCGACAGTTCGTTGCTCGTCGCCGTACCCGCTTCTTGCGCAGCTCGGAGGCGCCTTTGATCCGTTGCGTTTTCAGCCTCCCGCCACCGTCGTTGTATACATATATGCGCGCTTCTCGACTTTTTGCGGCTTCCGGGGCCGCGAGACCTCGAAGGGGGAACAATGTAAAGAAGAAATTATTATGTCGTACTGGTACATCGATCGATAAAAATCGCCAGAGGGGGAGCCAGCCGAGAGCTCGTTTGAGCTGCGCAAAGCGGGGGGCTCGACTAACAGGAAATTTGCCCTCTGAAAATAACCATAGACGCTTCCTGTGCTACTTCGAATCGAATCCACGTTTTTTGAGTCGCTCAAGTTGCGTTATCGATAACGGTAGCACGATTTCCATACTTTGAGTATAATCTGTAATCCATCGACTCTCTTGGTAGTCGTTTATCGTTAAAAAGAGCTAAAGGATTTCTTTCTCCGCGTGTATTCGACCGAATCGTGAAACGAAGTGTAGGAAGCACGGCGGAGTAGGTTTAATAAATCCGCCAAGATGGAATCGCGATCGTCCGCAGAAGAGCGAGAACCGCTCGAGGGGCGCGCGCTTGTAATGTATGTTAATGCGTCGGAGGTGGGTGAACGATGCCTATAATAATAGTGTTTTCGAGGATGTGACGTCACGAGGGAACAATACACGCGCGAGCCGAGCGGCCAGCACACGCTTTCGGCGGATTATTTATTTGACAGTCCTCCCCGCGGGCCGTGTCTGCGTTTATAGTTAGCTCCGCAACGCTTCGTCCCAGAGATTTGCAACGCGTCCGAGGGTTTTTTGCCGTTAAAATGGAGGCTGATGCGGTGTTATGCAACGCAAGTTCCGTTGATTACCTTCTGCTTGGATTTTCTTCGCGAACATTTCATTTATAGAATACATAACTATCGTAATTGTTGCTTCGAACAATAAGATTATTCCAGCATAAGCATACTCCGCTGTTCACGACTCGTTACTCGAAACTTGAATTCGATCGAGGAATACTGCTCGATTCTTCGGGCAAAGACGTTTTCTGCGAAAATTTGTTCGTGCGTGAGAAATGGTCGGACGTTAACCGAGCAATTTCGTGCTCGACGAGGGCAACGAGCGCAGTCAGGAGTTGCGCGAAATATATGCAAATTCGATCGCGCTCACGGCCTGGCCGTATTCTTCGTCTCGTAATTTAAATTTTATACCGCGTATCACAATTTAGCTTCTCATTTCGCAACCAGCCGCTCCCGTGGAGACTCTGTGCGCGCTCGGTAAGTACATACGAAACACGAAGGAAGTTATAATCGTCGTTTGGATACGTGAGAACACGTCGCAGATCGCCTATGTTGCAAAAGCACCCCGAACCCGGAAAACACGAGCTGTTCGTGACCACGTTGACATTTTTTCCTTTTGGGTGTAGGAATTTATTTGGGTATCGTTACCCGATATTGCGCATAAGCGTATAAAGTCCACAGTTTAGTCGCGATAAACTGACCTTCCGAGTCCTTTTCCTGAGGAAGAGCGAATCGGCAAAAAATCTGCGCGTTGTCGATGGGGTATTACGATGCGTTCGAAGGTCGACGCGTGAATTAATTCTTCTTCTCCTTTCGGATCGTTTCTTTCTTCCAACGCGAGTAGCAGATTACGAAGGCTCGATTGAATCGCCAAGAATCGAGAATCCGACCGGATTTCGTTGACGCGTGTGTTTAAGCTCCGGAATAAGTAGCTTACAGAGGGTTGCTGAGACGTACCTCGATTCGTGACAGGTTCCACCGTCGACTGACGGCAAGATGATCCAAATATTTTAATCTGATCAACGGTCGCTTTATCGTTTAAGAACGCGCTTTTCAATTATTTACATTCTTTTTGCACAAGTAACTGGTCGAGTAATTAAAACGTAGACACATGCTCGGGCTTGCGAGTAAAAGGTGCTACGTGAAAGTTAATAAGACTTCATAAAGGTGAAGATACGATCTGTCCATTAATGCTGTTAAGGAGAAAGGTCAGTTCTGCTACTATTCCACGATCTACCAACGTTGCGGTGAGCATATTTAATATTGGATTATACTCGTGATCTAAGTAGGACAGATTATGTAACCTAAACGATGCAAGTCTAAGAAATTTATGCTGTACTCTCTCCAACGTTACTTTATGCTTGTACCGTGTACAAAACTGACGGTATACGCATGCATAAGACTATTATTATTTTTCTCTCTAACAATAATTTTCAAATAATCGTGACGGATGTTACTGGAATTAAACAAATTTGTATAACCGCCCAACGCAGTGTCTGTAATGCGACACCAAAGATATCGTATTTTCATCTCTCGCGGAGTGCATTTAAACCGTAGGAACGACCGTGGGTCGTCCAAGTGAAAGGAAGCTCGAATTTTCGAACGATGTGGTTCGCATTCTCTCTTCGTCGACCCTCGAAGTCGACCGTTTCGATTTCTCGAGCTGGTCGCGATCTATCCACGAAACGAAAAATTGAAAAATGTAAGCAACCGTTACGAGAAAGAGAAAATCGAACCAAGAGTCGAAATTCTGCGTAGTTCGGTCGGGCAAACATCCGATTTATAATAATCGAGAGAGCGAAAAATAAGCCATGAGAGCTGGGAGATGAAAGAAGGAGCAGAGAGAAAGAGACACGGCTGTTTTCGAGGCTCTCAAGGTCTCGACGTGCATATCTTACGACCGATTAATTGCGGCTGATTTTTATTTATTACAAAAGAGTAAGAGGCGCGCGGCGCGGACAGCCGTGTGTGCGTTTTAATGGTTATTGGTTCGCGAGACTCCGTGGTGCGCGCACATCTCTACAGGTTCCCTCCAATGTATACCGCCAACTTGAATCCGACAACGTTTAATTTTCAATTATATTCCGTTCTTACTTTTAAACTGTAGGAAAACGAAGGAAACGGCAGCTTTTCTCGATTATTCGCTGTGTTACGGTTGGACGCGCGCGCATAGTTCAGCGCGCAGCATTTGAAACGGCACGGAGGGACGTCATTTCTAAATATACCGGGTGAGACGTTGTTTATCGATGTTTCACGGTTCCGCGAAGAGATACGAGCACGGTATGGAAATATCGCGAGTTTTTAGATGCCTGTTTCGATTTCGTTTCAAATTTGGCACGTGGAGTGGTTTTCTAGCCACGTTGCGCATAGTTACAATGACTCGAATCAAACGATCGGTAATACATCAGAGATGCGTTTATTCGAATGTACTTGCATGCAAAATAAGACACTGATTAGAATAATAGCTTGTTTCTTAAGTATACGCGTCGGATGATAACGTTGACAAGCTTTCTAACGTTCTCGACTCTCGTAATTTTCAATCTCCTTTGGTATTTTGGGATCTACGCTAAGAGGAACAAGAAAATGTACATTTTGAAAATTATTCCGTGTCCTCGCGACATGTGCGTCAGCATCCGTCCAGGACACCGCTTTTGGGTGAAGCTGTATGCTTTCGCGCGCGCGCGCGCGCGTCGCGTCGTAATAATAAATTCAACGCGGCAACGTGACTTATCCAACGTGCTCGCGGGTAGGTGTGCGCAATAATTGTTAATTGTCGGCGTTGATACACGGGCCTGATAGTGCGCGGCGTTTCAACGTGAACACGCGCGGAGGGCGATTCCGATTTTTCCGTGCCAGCGAGCAGGCTACTGTCCGCGTGTACAGACACTTTTCGCGATACTTTACGGCTTATTAAGGTGCGAGACCGTGCGGGATAAGTTCTCTTCCAGCGGCACGATCCGCGTCGCTCTAATATTGAATCGGTAATTGTTGGCGCTGCCATGGTTCGTTGTGCCACGGAATTCCATTTTTCCGTCTCGTTGAACGCGCCGCTGTCGATTGTTCTCTTCTGCGGGTTTGAGAAATTAGGGCTCGGGCTATCCGCCTCGCGATTCCGTGCTCGAACATTCGAACGCTATTCAAATATTCAACAAACGTAATTCGAATACTAATCCGATACTCGAATACGACATTTCCGAATGTTCTGCTGAAACTGTGCGAAAGCTTTCTCGTTTGACCGATAATGTACCAGTCCCGATATATCGCAATAAGGAGATTCGAACATGCGTATACGAGTGTTCGTACGATGTACGAATAGTGTCAGCTGTGTTTTACGAGTCGTTGGGATTAGGACCGAGACTACCTATGGAAATTTTATACGAATGTCATTGCTTTAAGTTCATCTCTCTTCTCCAATCTTTATCTCCTTTTAACTGTACATTTCTCATATATCCTCGCAATGAATTTTTATTATTTTCTATAGCTTAAACTGCGCGTTATTGCATGCGTAGTTTTGCTAAAAGAACTGTCAATCGTTAAACCGCGAGTGGAAACGTTTCGGCACGAACAGGTTCCTCGACGTAGGAATTTCGCGCGTGGCTTTTCTTTCGTGCCGTGGATTACGAACGATGACTAGACGATGGTCGCGGTGACGAACTCGCTGCGAGCGCGTTCAACGTATACCCTCGATACACGTAAAAACGTGAATTCCATTAGAATCGTAAGCAGCGGTGGAGTGTAATACCGAGATCCTCTCGTAACAATAAAAACGGGAGAGAAAAATGCCACGACACTTACCCAGCGCGCAACGAGGCAGCAGCAGCAGCCGCGGTGAGGGTGAGTTGCTGCGCAGCGGCGGCTCCAGCCGCTGGATCTGCCGCGACTAGTTCCGAAAGCACCAAAACGGTAGTGGTTGTTGTTGCAGCTCCGCAATTCGGGACTGTAGCGCTGACAGCGTGACGCACGCTAGGCGGAAGATCGTCTTCGTGCTGAAGCTGCAGCTGTGGATAATGATGCAAGTGCAGCGCCGTGGTGGATCCCGATCTGGGGGTGACGCAATTTGGTGGCAACAGGCCAGCCCTCGTAACGGCCGACGGAGGCGACGGTGACGGCGGCGAGGGTGGCGGTGGCGGGTACTCGACCACCTGAACGCGATCCGCTTCGTTCTCGTAGATGATCTCCTTGTCGTGGGTGTACATGATGGTTTTCTGACCGTCGTTGTAAATTAGATCGATCATCTTGTGCTCTCCGACGCCGAGCGTCGAGTTGCCGGAAGTGGTTTCGCCGCCTGGCGTCACCCTCCCGTCGGTGTCTTCGGCGGACCGTTGCTGCACGTCGTCTGGATCCTGAATGTGCTGTGGCTGATGATGATGATGATGATGGTGGTGATGGTGACGGTGATGGTGATGATGGTACTTGGGATGGAGCGAGTGCACCGTCGCTGGCTCGTGCAGGTCCAGCACGTTCACTGGCTGCATCGTTGCGAGCAGCACTTGCTGCTCGCTATCGTTTTGATTCTGGTTGCTCAAGGAGGAGGACGCCGGGGATACTGGACCCTCCTGCACCTATAACAAACGAACAAAGTTGCATCCGATAAAGGCGATGGAATTCTTCGACGTACGTGGATTATTGCGTAACGCGTAAATTGCACAAGTCCGTGGCTCAAAGTCACTCTTCCCGATACGCTCGAGTCTAAAACTTTCACGGGACGCTAGACGTCTTCCTACTGTCGCCTCTCGACAAAGAGTTATTCAGAAAACGTTGGCCTATTATTAAATCCGCCTATGGCTTCAATCAACCTGCAGTTCTCTGCGAGATCTACCCTCGTCAACCGGCCTCCAAAGAATTGCGACTCGGCCCATGAATAACCACCCTCGATGCTCGTATTCAGCCATCCAGCCTCTTGTTCTCGACGATGTCCTTGAACTCGTCCACCGTGCGCTCTTTAACCCCTCTTCGGACCGAAATATCGCAGCGGTAGGAATAATTCCACAGTTGAGGACAGAAGGTTGCAAGTCGAAACGTTTATCGAACCGATAAATTAAAGTATACCTCTGATTCGAGCAAAGATCAAAAGTTCGCCGAACGAGTATACACCTTCTATTTGACTTTCTATCGATGATTACGCGGCTCGCGCCTTCGTAAGTGATCCTTTTTCGTCACGAAATTCAGGAAGGACTCGCGCGCCGCACTTTCATTTCCGAGTTGCTGACGATCCGTCTTCGAGGGCTTATTTAATCGCTACGAGGGATTTGAAAGTCTCGGAGAAACGATTCTCTATTCGCTGATCGTACGAACAAAGAAAATAATTTGTGCTTAAAATTAAATTGATTCGTTTCTTGGCCAACGAGTAACGTAGTTACGACAAGTCAAAGTCGCGAAAGAAACTCCATCGGATCGGTACTCGATTTGTAAAACAATTTGTTCGATCGATCCCGTAAATAAGCTTCGAAGTTTCGAATCTTCCGACTGCTACAACGATGCGATTTGCTGACTCAAGACTCGTGTTCGTGGCGAGTAACACGCTCGAAAGGGCATGGAAAAGCGCGCTATTAATCGACGTGCAGGATTTACGGCCGTCGATCGGAAGAAATATCGACCAGTTCTCGATCTCGAAAAAAATTAATATCTCGCGTTACCTAATCGATATTTAAGCAACTCGAATCGCTAGCGAGAGTCGAATATTGGCAAGGCGACTGGCGATATTTTCAATTAAGTTGATCGACGGCGCGCGTGTCCAGTAAAAAGAATTTGTCTACGGATAGAATAAGAAGACACGCATAACAGCTGAAGCATAGGAAGCCGGTAGCTACCGGGCGCATGCCCAAACGATCGTCGGTCATCTCGCAGAGTTCGATGCTAGAAGTCTCCCTTAAACGGGCATTAATCAGACCGATTACGAAGCCTCCCGCGGTCGCGACACGACGTTAAGTACTCGTCCGGTCGAAGTTTGCCGGTCGTGTACCGACTCGATTCGAAATCTAATCGTAGGCCGCTAGCTGGGGGATATTTATCGTGATCGTCGATGCTGCGGTACCGCGGCAACGCGTTGACTCACGGGGTCTGGGACTGAATCTATTACGTTTTTACGGCGTTTTACACACGCGGTTGACAACGACTAGAGTATCGAACGGACGGAGAAAAGGAGAGAGTGAGAGAGCATCGCGATTCGTTATGTACTCCCCTCACGAATACATATTTCACGATTTCGTAGTGCTCCTGGGAGGATGTTATCTCGGGATTTATGAAATAACGTGTACACGGCTCGTTCAACGACGACGTTGTACCGTAGATTCAATCTAGTATCGCTGTCAAGGTGAACGATTATGTAACCCGGGCGATAGCGTTTTTAATATCGGACTTCGTTCGTGACCGGTGCCTTTCGATGTTGCTCGACCTTGTCCGGACTCTTCCTCCTCTTTTCTTTTTAGTCTTTAATTGATTTCGAATCGCTTATACGCGACGACTAAGATGACAAGATTAAACCGTGTCTTGCGCAACTTTGTTTTCGTCGTGTGGCTTCCCCGTGCGTGTGGACCATGCGGTTTCAACGACGAAGAAAGCTTTCACAGGCTTTATACTTGTAGACTAACTTGGTGGAAGTCTATTGTTCTCTGATGGCAGAAACACGAATCCTAACGCTACTCGCATCGCTGCTTTTATGCTTTAGTTTTACCTGTATGTTATATATCGGTGGATATCAGCGAATCTCAGTCTTTCGGTGGTTTTCGAAAGGCTCGGTGGTTTCGAGGGATCGGAAGCGAATGCAGTGGATTTTCCGCGTAGGCTAGGTCCGAGTACTGTTTACGCGCAAGAACTGACTGATAATAACAGTTAATTGGCCTGCTGGCCTGCGCCCCGTGAGAGACTATTCCAGGTCGGACGGCAGCCACCAGACGTGTCTGTTGGTCGAACGAGGCCGACTCCGCGAGCGGATACGCGACCGTTGCTCGTCCGCGTCGCGTCGTTTCTTCAGCGCGCCAGTCCGTCTCCGCGGTCGGTTATTGCCGATCACGTCGTTGGAATACGCAGCTGCGCGCGTTCCAAGATACGCGGAATCGTTAAGGGCCTTTCTTTAGCTTCTCGACGCAACCAGTGTTCCTCGGTGTACGCATCCTAGCGAACGCCGCGTCGGTCAGCGTTCATTGTTGCGGACATCCTCCCTCCGTGGCACAGGCTTCCTCTGGCTCGCAGCGTGTACACGATCGTCGTGGCTTTTTGCTATCCTCCGTTGAATCCTTGTTATATCGGCCGCACACCCGAGAAGACGGTCATCTCTTTGCGATAGGGGAACACCTGTCGGCGTTTCTGCTTTTGCGCTGTGTAATTTTGTTCTCCGCTGCTTCCGAGTGAAGTGTAAACATTCTAAAATCCTGTAATTCTAGAATTCTGCGGTTTTGAAATTCTCTTCCGTTAGAGAAAACTGGTTAGCGAGTGTTAACCTTTTCACGATTTCATAAAACGACGAATTTATTTATAGGGAGCTCCGCGAAATTTCGCTGGTATTATTAAAATGTCCATTTGAATAATGAAAGTGGGACACCCATGATCCGGATTAAATTACTGTTATTAGCTATATCCATGCGTTTATGCTTGGCGACTTCCTCTCACTATTTCGAGTTGCCGGTAATCATGAAAATACCCATGTGATTGTTCGCGTTACTTTTCTTTTTTCAACGGACGTCACATGTATACCTTTAATTGCTCGCAACGTTTACGGTTGTCGACGATCGTATCATTATACCTCCATCGATTCATTTCTTTTTTCCTCTGGACGCACTTTGCATTCCACGCGCGGTTTATTCATATTGTTTGTTTACCGTTTGTGCTACCAGCGTTGCTAGGTGCGCCCGACGCCGCGGCGCCGACGTTTACAATTTTCCGATTTTAAAAATTCTTCGGAGTCGAAAACTCCAAAATTGTTTGGCCAAATGTGCGACGCGACGTTCTCTAGGAAATTTCTAAAAACTCCTGCAAGAACTATCGTCTCGAAATCTTCGGGGAATGCAATAATCATCCGTGACCGTTCGTTGAACGTTTATTATTACTTAACCGTCATCAATCACAATTCAAGAAGCAAGAACGAGCAATATTGTTGTCATTCGTGCGTTGCGATATTATTCACATAATTATCGCGTGTGTCGAGAATCCGATCGATGTGTACAGAGCAATAAATCATTTTTTTACAATATCTTCACGTTGCATTTGCAGCCGCGACTGCAGTGAACGTAACGACAAAAATTTCTCGGCCGCGCCGCCATTATCTTTGATTGATATCTCCAAACGGTTCATGTCGCGTTTCTTGCTACCATTATTCCGTTTCCATTATACACTACTCGGAGTAGTTAAGCGAATGCTTTTTCCCAAGGAAAAAGTAACGACCAGCTTCTTCTAATCCTTTCAAACGGTCTTCGCTTTCGTTGGTTTCCTCGAGCGTGCATTTCAATTAATATTCGACCAATCCATTCGACCGTAAAATCATCGATGAAACGTGCATCGGCGCAAATTTGATCAAAGTGAAACAGTGTTCGATTAACGAAGAAACGAAATTGGGAATCGTTTGGATTCTATTAAGCAATCTTTGTTGGTTACTCGGATAATGAATAATAGCACGATCGCCGACGCGACGCGACGCGACGCGACGGCCGTGCCAGAGTATCGGGTACGCGAAATCCAGCGAGTCATCGTACGCGGCAAAATCGTCTTCCTCTTCTTCTTCGGTCCGCGTGCGAGTGGCTAGGCTGGAACGAATGGACGGCTGAACGTACCGTTCGTTTCGCGTCGACGAAAGAATGCCAGCGTTCGATGGTGATTCTCTGGATAGAGAATTCAGCCGTGAACGATTCGACGTTGCCGCGATCCTCGCCGTGGAGGTAATATCGTATTGCTAGAAAGCTCCATACGTGCGCAACAACTTGGTCTTTGCCTTAGGTTGGGAAAGGTGAGCGTTAATATTATTTACTAAAATTATAGGAATCGTTGGTAATATAATTGAACGATATAAAATATAATACGATTCGAACGAGAAGGGTCAACTTAACGAATGTCACTCTTACGGATGCGCAAGTGTTTATGAAAGTCGCAAAAGAGACATCAAATACGCGTATATAAACAAACGCGATAAACAGAAATTCTCACCAGATATGGGCACAATTTGATTCGTATAAGAAAACAAGTAAAGTTGTTCATCCTACGGACGTTATTCGGTGTTCTTATCGCGATAAGAAATTCCGAAACTTGAATTATAGGCCATCGGCCAGAGCGATAGTAATAAAGACAAAAAGGAGGGATGCGTGGACTCGTGATCGTAACGATGTAAAAGCCGTCGCATTATCATAAATTATATCATCGTTTGGAATGGTTGGTGCAGTGGCTGGCAGTCGAGTCGACTGTAATAATTCCACGGGGATTTTGGCCGTAACGTCTGGGTCCCTGAAAGATTCTTAGGGGAACCGCTTACGCGCCGGGGACCTCTCATTGTGGAGCAGCGTCAGGCAAATAACGGGCTTTAGTCCGGCGGAGTTTCACTTTTCAGCGACAGGTATACCATTGTGAGGTTAAAAACCTGCGGCCAGGTGACAGTAAAAATCTTTTCAGGCTTCTCAAAGTCGAAGAGTGGCCATTGGGGAAGGACATATACGTGTATATACTATACATGTAGTATACATCACCCCGGGGCGATGAACTATCGGAATCCTCTTAGAGTTGCCGCCGCGGAGGCGTCAACAGTCAAACCGTGCATGAATTTACAAAAGGATCTTGGAAAATTTTATTACTCTCGAGTCGCTTGCTTCGTAATAACAAGGTGTAGTGCACGGTTAATAGTCGCAAACGTGAAACGCGAATAAATTTGTTATGTTGTAGATACGATGGAAACATTAGTCTTACAGGGGGGTGCCATGCGAGTAAAGTCGTTGGTTCGAGGGTACTTTTCCTAGTGAGATTCATCCAGAGCGAGGGAACGGGGGAGTCGTGATTAACGACGTCAAGGTATACTCGTCCACGCCCCCTTCGATTTCGACAATTCATGGAATGCAATCATACCTCACGGCCGTGGGTCATCGGTTGACCTTCCACTGTGTCTCTTTCATTCTCCCCCGCCCCCTCCTCGTTGCAAGGTACCACCCGTTGCGCGAAATAACGAGAATGCCGGACTCGTAAGATTACTGGCAGTTACGTTTGTTCCAACCAGTAGCGCGTAAACCTTCAACAGGACCCTGCTCGATAATATCTTTCATTAACGATAACGTTTGCGGTGAGATCGTTAAAAATCGATGGTTCGAATAGGCGGAAGATCTTTCGTCGCCATCGTTTAAAGCAAGTTTGCTCCGTTCGTCTGACAATGAGAGCACGGAGGGCCCTGGACAATTATACGTTTTCTCTTCAGCGATATTCGCCACTGTTTCCAGCGTTGAAACTTCAGGAACGACCCTGAGACGCCAAGGTCCGAGTGATGGACGAGTCTGCTTGTACCGAAAGATCGAGAATCGCCTGTCAATCTTTTGGACCGCGAGCGAAAAGCAGTCGAAGAACAAAGACAAGCTCTTTTCTCTTCTTTTTTAAATCTTTTCTTCAACGCTGCCTCGCTGTTAATTTGCGCCGATTGGCCACGTTTATTCTCCGTTCCGCCGCGCCGGCTCGTTCGGCGATCGACGATATTCAGTTTGGAATTCGCATGCGTCACGACTTTTGTTCGAAAACTCGTCGAGCTCGGTCACGGTACTCGACGAGTCGCTAATTTGCACGAAAGTGTGTGTCACGTGGTGAGTGATACCGCCACAGCTGATTCGAGGTATTCTCGGGAAGGTGTCGCGTCTTCGGAGGCAATCGGCTGTACAAATATTTGACGGAGTTGGCGAACAACTTTGATCTCGACGAACGCCTTAGAAAATTTGGAATTTTTTTTCTCTGCTATCGAGTACCATGCAATCGAGCGTAAATAAAAAAATATGACTAACCGGTGACAGAGCCTCCTGCATGTGCAGGGGTCCGTTGTCGGCCTCGTCGGTGCAAGTCGACATTCTCCCGCGCTGTCTTCCGGTTCTCTTTCCTCGGCGTATCGTGGCGTCCTGTAAGATTCGCGTTGTCTCAATATCACACCCCTCGTTTGTCTACCTTCCGGCGACGATCTCGTTCAGGGTCCCTACAGGCTGGACTAACTACGTCTACGCGAACAAATTCTAGGCAATGGAGTAGCGTATCACAGGCTGCTGAGCGTTGTATGGCACGTTGTTAACGGTTGGCGGGGAGCATCGAAGAACCTGCAAAGTAAACGATAAGCGGAAATAGAATCGTTAAAGTAAGGCGACAAACTACAAATAGTAATTGGAAATATTTGACTGTAAGAAAGAGTGGAATACTTTGCGGAGAGGGAGAGAGAGAGACAGGCTTGACAACGAGACGTAAAGAGGAATCTCGGAGGCTCCGCGCAGTTCGATATGACGCAACGCGCAGATCAGCGGGATCAGCTGGTCGTTCCATTCATTTCAACCAGACAAGCACGTCAAACTGGAAACGGTTTCGCGGTCGCGGCATTGATAGACAGGTGCAATAAACCGGCATCAAAGACGAACGGACAGGCGGAGCGAGAAGGAAAAGCTGACGAAACAGGAGACACGTTCGCCTAAACGCCGCAAGGGAGGAAGCCGTTGAACCGGCCAAGCGATCGAGAAGAAGTCGGCCGAAACAGGAAGCAGGGAGCCGCATTTTTGCGATTCAGGTTGACGTCCCGGAAGAACGAGATCGGCAACGGAATCAGGAAGGCCATCGCGGCTAGGGGCGGCTGGCTCGCGAATCACGGGGATACCACCGGTGACCCAGAATAGCAGGTTCGACGGTTGATACAGTTATCACGTGGGTTACCCAGAAATCTGTACCCGAAACCAGTCAGACACCACGAATTCTACGTCTTCGGGACGTCGTCCAGGTGGATAGTTGGCGAAACCAGTTGGGTTCCCTCTTCTCTCGACTCGTCCATCTCCTCCTACTACGTGGACTCCGGAGGTCGAGGGAGGGCGAGACACGTAAAACTGGAATTCAAGAGACGAGCTGACGGATAGACACGCGTAATAATAGACGCGACGAGGAAGCCGTCCGGATCGAACGGTCGATCGCGAGAGGGCAAGAGTGCGTTGTTTCCCTCTCGGTTGACCATGGCGTGGGCCAGAGGGAGGCCAGAGGCCGCGTGGATCGCGAGAAAGAACAAGACGAACCGGCCCGCGACACGGGGAGAAGAGAGAAGCCAAACAGGGTGGCGGGAAGTAGGTAGGTGCCTACCTACTACGCGGAAGAAGGAGATTGGGGCGAATGGAGAGAAGGAGTAGGTACACGAGGCCGGTATACAACCGCGGACCGGAGACGAGAAGCCAGAGGAGCAGGTTCGGCCGGTCTAACCTGATTCTCAAAGGGAACCCTGCATCAGATTGGACCCACCTCCGTGGGTCCGTTTGTATTTCAAGTACCTGTACTCCCTCGCCTCGCGTCAGTGGACGATGCCTCCGGAGACGGAGGACTCTCCTCGGGCAGCCCGACCAACAGAAACTTTGAATGATCTTCGAATACTCGCGGTATGCTCGGAAACCGCATCGGGCAGGTGGCTAGAGTGGATCCGATCGTCGACGGGTCGCCGTGATCGTTCGAGTGGTTCGACAGTGAATATCTAAACACCGGGTGTGAGAGTCGGGTGCCTCGCGACTCACGATTCCGTTTTGAACCACCCAGCGTTGGGGTCCTCTCCTACGCGAGGGTTCCGAGCTTTTCACAGGCGACGGTTTTCTGGGTTCAGTGTTTCGGGAGTGAGAATCAGTGGCGAGTTTCAGTTGTGGGAAAGATCCTCGATCCAATCACGCCAGAGACTACGCGGGCAAAGTTATTAGCACGTGTCTCTGAAAGAGAGACGATAGAGTGGGACAGATAAAGTATCGACGACGCGGACCGTTCGAGAACGTTCCCCAAATGACCGTCGCCGTTCCTCGACGCGCCGCCGCGTTACATAAACCATGGAACGCGTTCAGGCCGCTGTGTTCCATTAGCGGGTACCATAAACCGAGGCCAATTATACTCGCGAGGCTTCCATTCACTACGACCGCGACGCGTATGCCAATCACCTCGAGCTTTTCCTCTCAAATAATTCATTCTACGTTACGAATTTAATATCCCCTTACTCAACACCTCTTTTTTAACAATCGCGTTTCATTCGATTCGGATAAAACCGATTGCTCCGACATTCCAAATCTCCTGCGGGCTTTCAAGAGGAGACTAATAATCCTCGTAGGCCTACGCGATCCCACGTCTTGTTTACCGAGGCAGGTGAGCCGAGCGTCACCTGTGCGTCACCGTGCCAGCTAGCCTTCGCGATAAAGTAGCTTAACGCGAGAATCGTCAGGTAAGACATACTCACTTGTTGGGGTTCGCGTTACAGAAAACGTAGGAGATATCACTGGCGGGGAAGAAATGTTGGGCGCACCCGCGCGTAGTCTTGGAGAACTCGGTGGTTGCCGCGCCGGCAAGGTGTACGCGCGCACGCGTGTGTGTATACGCCCGTCAAGAGTGGTAGGTGGTTAGGTGGTTAGGTGGTAGGTCGAAGGGTGTTGGTGGGGTGTTGCTTCGAGGGAGCTTCGAGGGCGGGGGTGGGGTTGTGGGGCGGGAGGGGTTGGGGTGGGGTTGGGGTTGGGGGGTGGGGGTGGGGGTGGGGGAGGGCTCCTACAAACTACTAAGCGTCCCTCCTGTGTTCCGGATCACATCTCAACGGATGATACTGTCACCACCTTCGAGCGTGGACCGAGGCGTCCAGCACCGCGTCTACCGCGGTTTCGGTGTCGGTATCGGTGTCGGTATCGGTACGGTGGCTTTCAGCCAAGGCACCCTGTCTCCCGTGACTCGAACACGGGTCGACTAGGATGGACGACACCGGGAACACACGAATTTCACTACGCGCACCTCATTATCCTCGTTTTTCGGTCCGTCCACTCTGACCACTCGTGACCTATCGTTCCTTGGTCGCTACACCCCTCTACGACGAGTCGCGAGGAGCTGTTGCTCTCCCCAGGAACGGTTTTCCTCAAACCGGATCGTCTGTCCGCGATATATATTCACACTTGCACACCGGCTTTCAGGCACAACACGCGCACGCGGACGGAGAACGACGACCGCAACGACAGCGACGACGGGAACGGCGACAGCGACGACATCGTCGTCGCAGGATCGAACGCGAATCGACGTGCGACACCGCGACGCACACGACGATGGCCTCGTATCGCGGAAACGTGACGACGAGGGTGGAACGCGATGCACTACCCCGAACTGTGCGGCCCAACAGGTAGAATTAAACCGCCCAAAGTTTGGGCAGCCGCTGCAAGCAACAAACGAAGCAGCCTCACGGTGCTCTCTCGGATCGTTCTCTCTTCTCTCGGGATACGGCAACATGGCCGCCGTCGCCGCCGCCTCCCAGCATCCCGCTCTCGGCTCCGTGTCTCGGACCCCCCTCTCTTCTCTCTTTCACGCACACCGATCTGGTCTCTGTCCGCTCCATTCGGCGCGTTCCTTCCATCTTCCTCTGCCTCCCGCGCTCCAAAGTCTCTCCTCTCCCTCTCCACCTATCTTTCTTCGCTTACCTGGCCACCCTATGACGCCTCCCCATTTTAAGCTCTTTCTCGTTCGATGCACCTTCCTTCTCCGCGTCTCTGCTTCTTCGTTTAACCTTCTGTTTCGCGTCCTCTTCCATCGCGGTGTCTACCTGTAGCGCTGTCCCGCGGTACTCCCACTTCGCCTGGTGATCCAGCGGTGTACCTTGGCGGAGAGGTGTGGAGAGGGACACGCGGTCTCTCTTTCGCTCGATCGTTCTTCGATCTTCCTCTTCGTTGCGTACAGGTGAGACGAGGAGTCCCGAAAGAAGGACGCGACCTGGCGAAAGGGAAGAGGAGGGAGGCTAGTCGGAGCGCAGGTAGCCAACGGTGAACAAGGACCTGGAGAACGTACAGGTACGTTTGCAGGAGAGAGATCCGACGTCTTACGGCGACTCGCACGGATACAAACAGAGCATCGAGTCATCGACGAGGCGGCCAGGCTGCCAGGGCTCTCGGCCACCCGGCATTATCGTGTCTCCGCGAGCATCTCTGTCTACCTTGGTCTTTTCCGTCGCTCCACGCTACCTTAAACCTAGGGATACCTGGCTCGCGGGAGGAACGAAGACGCCAGGGAACACGCACACGAGTCCATTATCGGTCTCGCGGCGAGCGTCCTTCTCCGTCCCGATCGATCGGTCCAAGCTTTCTCCTTTTCCATTCCTCGCTACCTTGAGAAGGATACCATGGGCCGCTGACTGCCGCGAAGAAGGAGGACACAGCCGCGTATGTACGTGGATTATCGTAATTCTCCCGTCCCTCCAACCCTATGCCCTACGCTGGCTCTCGTTTTATCCCCTCGGAGCGTTCTTCGTCTGTTCCCACCTTGAGAAGGATATCCAGATATCGCGAAATGTCCCGAGGGTACGGCGAAGCTTCGGATATCGAGGATGTTTCTTGCTCCGATTCGCGATCGGCCGTCATGCCCGCCATATTCGTTTTTCCTCTCGAACAAGGTACTTCCGACAACGAATTCTCTAGCCGCGATTCGATTTTCGAACGTTACTCGAGGCGAGTCACGAAACGACGCCACGTGTGACGGATGAACGTGTTTCTGCCCACGTGTATCGATTCCCGAAAAACAGCGGGATTCGCTTCGACTTTCACTTCGTCTTCTCGACGAACGTAGTTCTCCTCCTCAAAGTTCGTATCGAGGGCACAAGCGATCGAGTGGGAGGATGGTTGTTCTATGAAGAGGAGCCTACGAAGCTCGTTGGACTTGTAAAAAACGATACCTCTTGGAACAAGAAGAAGATGACGAAGGGGCTGGAGGGCACCGAAGAAGAAAAGGAAGACGATATAGGTACGATATAGGTACTGCCAGAATATATCTTTACGTGTTTCCATCTTGAGAAGAATATCCGGATCTCGCGAAACATCCTCAAGTACAGGAATGCTTCGTGAATGTGCGAGGTGAAGTGCAACTCGTGCGAAGAGTACAAGAGAATATTTTCTAAATGGTAGTTTTCCGTGCTACAAGTGCTAGGGAATTTTATGTACCTGGAGTACTCCTACGTGCGGTAGGGTAATTACTTTCGGTAGGTCCCTAAGAAAAGACGATAAAGCTCCTGGTACCGATATAGATGTACACGCGTTCGTGGTATTGATTCCTCGTTGCACGCGGCACTTGAGAGCATATAGACGCAGACGGTGAGGAAGAACGAAGCTGCCGTTGCTGCTTCTGCTGGCTGCTGTGGCGGCTACGGAGACGGACTCTGGATCGAAAGTAGGAGGAGGGGCGAAGAGGGATCCAGAGAGTGCGTGAGCCCTGATAGAAGGAACGAGAGGAGAAAATGAGCGACCGGGACGAACTCCTTCGTCTCTCTCTTTTTCTCGAGAATCCCTGTTGTCCTTGTCTCGCTGCTGCCTCCCTGTTTGGTCCTCTTAGCCGCTCACGAAGGGAGAGATTAAAAAGAGAAAAGGGAGGAGCTGGAATTAAAAGAGGAAAAAACGACGAGGAGGAAGCGTCCAGAGAGGGAGGCCGAGAAGCGTACAGCGAGGCAAAGCGAGAGGGAGACTCGTGAAAAATGGGCACCCAGCGAGAGAAGACAGCCTCGGGCTACGTCGCGCGATGCGACCCTGCACAGGGAAGGATCCGTTCATCCGTTCCCTCCGAGTCAGAGACGGGCGAAATTCTTATCTAGATAAACATTTTGAGTAACGAGGAAAAATTTAACGACTTTCATGCGTGTGTTTTCTCTTCTTTTTCGGCATTCGGAGCAATTCAATTTAAACTATAAATCTTTCTTTCTCGTATGTAACTTTAACTCGGTCAGCGTTCGGATCCATATCGAGACCTTCTCGAGAGTAACAATAACAATCGTACGGCATATTATGTTACTCCTCAAATATTGCATATCTCCGTCTGGAGTATGTACGCAACATGGTCTGCGAGCGCAGAGAAAATTAATACCGAGACGTCGAATACCCGGTACCTTTGGATGCTGTTTAGCAGGGAGTAATTAGGGGATCGGAGTCGTGACATGCGACGAGACTCGGATAATTTGAATACGCACGCCTTCCCGTGAGAATCGTCGCGGTCGTTACGCGTGCAACGGTGCCGCGTGGGTGGCTGCACGCAATTGCGTGGGCGGATCACCGAGAAGGAGGTGGAGAAACGTCGACGTAAACGTAGAGGGGAGCTCTAGCCGCGTTTACGGACGCTTCTTTTGCGTCGACCTTGACTCCTTTACGCCCAGCTAACTCTAGCGCGGTCAATTCGAGGCTCGAAACGTCCGGTCCAGGGGGTGATGTTAAAGATGTTTCGCGTTAATCTCGAGGTCGATGTCGCGATAAATTTTCATTCTACGAACAATCCCGTTTCTACGATTCATCACGTCGAACGGTAAAGTTCGCGGAAACACGGGAAGAATTATTGCCTGCATCCAACGACCACGAAGAGAGCGAATTAGTCGAACGAACGTCTACAAAATCGTTTGTCCGTGGTAACCCGTGATTTACCCTGGTGTTTATTTTGTTTGGACAGCAAACGATCCCGTCGGGGATATACATCACTGGACTGTTTCAGTAGAAACGTCTACAGGCGACTCTGTCGTAGGTCGTGTCGCGCGTAATTGTGCGCATCCTTCTGAACGTTCGGCGACAAGTTATTATCGGTGAAATACGCGTCCTTCTCGACTGGACGGCCATTTCTCATCGGTCACCGAGTGCGAAAATCCCTATCTCGCTTCGTTATTCGCTTTATCGTTAAATTGCATACCGTCGAGTTTCTTCGAGCCTCGGTAGGAGGAATAATTAACTAATTGTATCGAGATTATTTTTATCCGAGTTTTGGTAGCGGTGGCCCTCCTTCGTTTCGATTAAAAATCCTATTGTATCGTCGTTACGATTCGCTCGGCGAAAACGAGAGCGTGTAACGCGTTCGGTAATTATGCGAGCGGGAGAGATTCGGTTCCTGCCCAGTCATCCAAGTCACCGCGGACGTGGTTAACCTTCCACGTCTCAAACTACGTTTAGCTTTCAAACAAAGTATACGATGGAAAATATATATATATAGGTAATGGGAGTGTGACTTCGGAAACACGTGGGGTTATGGAAGGGTTAAACATGTTCGCGTTCCCGCAAGTATAATGCTTGCCCGACCGGTTCGAGCGTTTCATTCAGAGATACGTCAATGTTGCATCTATTCACGCGTACAGGCACAATACATCATAGGCTACCTGTTCGATGAAAGACCGGTCACCGGTCGGTCTTGCCCGCGTTTTGAAAGTAAACAGAACCCACTTACCGATCGAGAAAGACCCAACACTGTCGGGACAGAGACGGATGTCCGCGCCGGCGAGTAAAACAATCCGTCGTTCGATGAAGGGAAGTGCTAAAAAAGATTTTACTGCGGAGCCTCCGCGCCTCCGCAACGAAAGAAAGAGCCATTGTTAACGCTCGGGGACTTGCGAAGTGGGATTAGCGATTCAGCTTTTCTCGGAACGCAGGGAGTTCTTTTTTCGCTCGGCTCGAATGTACGATGCCATGGAAGCATGATTTGCATAAATCGTCGTTCGGTCAATCGCTAGAGAATTTTCTCGCTTTTACGTGTTGTTTGTGCACCGCAAACAATGCCGTGCGGATTTTTTGGTGTAACAGCAAGTCTCGGTAAAAGAGTTTCAGTTAATATTCGAAGAAACAGAAAAGAAAGTCCTCTGTTCGTTAAAAATAAACTCGAACGTAATTTAAGAAGCGTTAACGAACGGTGTATTTCATCGACGCGAAATAGTTTTCGAAGGGAGGAAAAGGGGAGAGCATAGGAGCGATTTATCTCGCGAAAAAATATTATCATCGTTTACCATTAATTACCGATGCGCGAAAAAACCGAGTCGACCCGTGTCCACGGTAATTACCGGCCCCTGGAGGACTCGTTGCGTGCGTTTCCAATCGCTAAGGAACTTATCGCTCGCGAAGGAGCCGCTCGCCATGCGATTGCCGGCAGGAAGCGCGAACGTCGTCGTGATAACGGTATCGAAAGTGTTACGAATACGACCGCAGGGGCTGGCTCGCGAGGTTATCGGTGGTTAGGCTACGGTGAGCAGCGACCTCTAATTTACATCGCGGAGCCACGCCAATCGACGGGCTATGGAAAATTTATTTTCGCGAGACGTCGCAAGAATTCTTCGCAATTCTCCGATAACGTGGCCACAATTCGATCGTACGACAGTCGATAGCTAGGAGGCAATGTATCGCGCTTATTTCTCGCGCGATATTGTTAAACGGTGATTGTTATCGGGGACTTTCCCATTCCTGAGAATCGGTCAGTGCCGGAAAGCGAACGGCCTCCCGTTGCGCTGTAGCCGCCCGTACGCGGCGTTGTTTTCACTTCTCGACTTTCGCGAACAAACAGAGGAAAGCGAACTGTATCGATTCTTTTGACCGTGAGCGTAAATATCTTTTAAATTTATACGCCATTTACGAATTCTTTTCATTGCTTCCGTAATTTTTGCACAATACGGCTAGCGCATCGCGCATTCGAGCTTATTCATAGAGCAAAAAGCGGACTACTAATCGATGAAAAAAAAAATTGTACGAGAATCGTTAGTATTCGATAAACGAAGGTTTGTTTTACCATGTATCGCCTTCGGATTATCAGTGTAAAATGACGCACAGCTAAATATATGCAAGTCCGTGTAAAGAGATATGCGTAACCGGCGACAACGTTATCGTGCAGCGCATGTTACAACGTAAAATTTCTGTAAAGTAAAATTGTAATTGTTAAATCTGTATATTTCACCGCGGGAATGAATAATGTATACATCGATAATTTGTTACAATTGGTTGCTTTTCGAATTTCACATCCAAAGAATGAAAATATTCATAACTATCAAGTGCGAAAACATTCGTGACGCTCCGGTTCGAGAAATTATAGCGAAAGAGACGCCTATCGTCGACTGCACGATTACACGTTTCCACTACGGTAATGGTTAAAGATAACGTAATCGTTCTTCCGTCCTTTGAAAATGTTTTTTTACAATATACGTGACATGTCGAATCGTACTGGAACCGTATAAATTACGTCTGTTTAACGCAACTTTATCGCGACAGGCTTTGTTTAAAGCAACCCCGTACGAAGTAAATAGAACGAAACGAATAATAAAAAATGCATCGTTCGGTTTTGATCTGCGAATAATGAATTCTTAGCGAACGATTAGCTCCTCCAACCACAACGAATAGGAGGTTAACAAGCGTCGCGAAAAAAGTCGAGCGATTCGAGGCGGTGGCGATGGTTCGATAAATTGATCGTCGACAAATTAATGTCCGCTGTTGCGTAACGGTACGCGAAAATCGCGCGGATGCCCGAGGGCCGTTGTTGCGCCGTTGTTACGGCGATACGTGTATCCGTTGCCCCGGTGAAGCAAGCGAAATCGCGGCTGCTTCGTGCCGTTAACTTTTCGCAAGAACGGAAAACAGTTACCCCGCTCAGACATGCGCGCGGCCGAGGGATAAGGAGAGCGGTTTCATTGACTCGAGCACGAAGGATCTTAATGACCGTCGCGAGATCGGTCGCGATGTAGCTGCCAACTCGACGAGAAAATTATTACGTTTCGTTAACAAACGGAAATTGGAATTCTCTGGATCAGATTATTTTAACCCGATGATGTTGAGACTTGGCTGTTGTATACTCGAATTGCCAATAGGAAGGCGATCGTTTAGGTCACACTCCGAGTTGCGAGTTATCGGTTAACGAAGCATTAAGCGTAAAAATCTACGGTTTAATTATGAAAATGATTCTTGGGAGAACCAAAAGACAAAAGCCAAAGTATCGTCGGCGTCGTCCGGTAAAACCAACGTCGATAAACGAGCAGATTTGCATTCACCTTCGGTAGAACATCGAACGAGTCGGCGGAGCTCCGAAACGGAACCCAGATATGCCCAATCAACGGCCGGCGCAGAAAGAGGGAACGCACACCAACGCGTAAAAGTGTGCGAAAGACTGTTGCTCGGGCTCGTACACGGTACAGTGGACTCTGTATGTCGCCGACACGACACGGACACGTTCAGCCATCGTGGATTGGTGAACAACCATTGGGGACCGCCATCAAGGATAGGCCTGAAACGAAGCGGCTTTTTATCGGCTGTGGACGCCGGGCTCGCTTGATATCGCCGGTGATTTGAATGCCAGGTTAGGCACGCGAGATGCCCGCGCTCGGAGATCGAGGAGTCGAGGAATTGGAATCGTCTCGATGAAAATGCTATGACAATTTTATATCGGTATGTTGGATCGAGACTCGTGGAAAGATGGAATTCAAAATCTGCTTGTTGGAATCGCGAAAATTTAGAGCAACGATGTCGTGAAAGTTTATCTCTCTGCTCTTGAACTCGAGTCAGAATTTTTTCTAAAATTCTTTCCATGTTTACTTTTTTTTATTCTCGAGTCGATCACCGGTGCTCTGTTGCGCTCCTCGTTTTGTACAACTATTCGAGTCCAAGCCCTAGTCGAGAAGCCGGTCAAATCGTTGGTTGTTTGCGACGCGCGACGCAGGCTGTGGAAAAGGGCGAGCTATTGCGCGCGATTGCGTTACGCGGCCCGTTTTGCATGCAAATTGCTCGACTCGGAATTTATGCGCACCAGGGCAATAAGGAACACGAGACACGCGTTCGTAGACCACGAATGCTTGTTTCTTCCATTGTTGGAGTATAGATCGTCCACGAGGTTGCTTATTCGGGGGTGTTTATAAACTCAATTACCCCATTACACTCTTTATTGTGTCGAATTTTAAATTCGACTCTTGAAGAATTAATCGATAGCGTAATTTTTTGGTAGCAGTCGTTGAGAAGTTATCAGTTAAAATGTTCGACGCGGCAACAGTTTCGAGCACTGTCGATCGTTAAACGAATATTAACGATGTGCCATTGTGTAGTTATTTTGCAACTGTCGTCTCGTTGGTGCAATTTTTCCATGCTATGCAACGAGGATACACCTCTCTTTGCATGCGAGTGCCGCGCTGTCGGTCGTATGTCGCTTCGTCGTGCGTGGACCAGTAGGAGAAGAGATAATTTATCACTAGACGGTTGCGCAATTAGCGTTGATTACGTCTCTTCCTCCTCTGATCGGATCGATGAACGTTTCAACTCGTCGCAATTTCGTCGACGGATATTAATTATGTATCGGTTGCGCAATAATTCGACGGGCAGTAACGTTCGCTGTAACGGGGAGCCATAAAGAGGCTCGAATACTCTTTCGGATCTGTAGGAGCGGATCGCGTATACCGAAATTAAGCGATTCCAAAAGAAGTCACACTTTCCACAAACTCCCTCTTTCCCCGAAAGCTGGCAAGAGAAATGGGTACGCGTCGATTTCGACACGCAGTCCGTGATTCACCGAGGATTTTCCACGTGTCTTCCTCTCAGGGATAGGGCACCAGCGCAGGCGTCCCGTCAGATAATCTTCTCTCCCTTGGTCACTCGGATGACCTCGGGTAAGGGCCTCGTAGGTATACGGGACTCTCCTACCTGCCTGTCTCGTCCTCTTCGTCTACCTGAGGCGAGGGTATATTTATCTCGACGCCTTCGTATGCGCATACAGTCGAAGAGGACGGTCGCGCGAGCGCAAGCAGAGTGGTTCGAGTGTGGATGAGTTTCGGGGCGAGGATGCTCCATAGAAAACGTCGGCGAAGAGATGCACCTGTCAGCTCGAGGAACACCCCCGTCAGGCCTCTACCTGGCGGTGCGTAAAAAGCCAAAAAATCTTTACCACCTCACGGAAAGGGAGGGGGTGGGTTTCCTTCGTACAAACCAGCACCCGTAATTTTTTCGTGGCGTCAGGAGTGTGTGTGAGCGCGGGCGCGCGCGAGCTGGCACAGGGTATGCGCATTCCAGTCGTGAGAACGGGCTTCTTTCACGTATTTTCGTAGCTACCAGCGTCGGTCAACCGTGATCGGAGGCTGTCGATGGCGTCGAAGCGACCAAAAGATCGCGGAGGGACCAAAGGGTACGAGGGTACCTATGATGGCGCTTTCGACTCACCTTACCCTCGTCTGTTTTTTTTTTCTTTTTTTTTTTATTTTCTTTACCTCTTTCCTTAATGAAGAATTCGCAACGGTGAAACATCTGCACGAAATCGTAATCGGTGAGTCGGTTAATGTTCAAGTAGTCCGGTTTGAGAAAGCCTGATTTAACCGAGCTCGAGTTTTCATTGAAACCACCTTGAAAGCGACTCGTCGCGTCGTTACGTCACGCGGAGAAACTTTCGAGAACGATAAAAATTTAGCGCTTAATATCGACCGAGGAGTAAATCGATGGACTTTTTACTTCAATCGATGTGGCCAATCAGTGCGTTGGATTAAAGGCGGTAAAATTCAACGATGGAAAGAGGAAAGACGTTCGATAATATGTTAATTAGGAGGCTGCTGTACGCGGAGCAATAAAATTTAAAGGCAAATGAAGCCGTCGACTCGTTTTTCGACTAATTGCGGTTACAGTGATGCAATTTTCAACGTATTCGGATTTCAACGATGCGGATCGTATTTTTAAGGAGAAATTTGGCAAGGAACGTGGTCGACGTCGTTCGCTAATTTGACACTGAATTTACGAACGTTGGTCAGGAATGTAAATACAATTATTTAATGAATGATCCAGACATGCGACGCTAAGAAATAATCGACGAGAGACGTCGAAACCCTAATTGTCTTTTGAATCGACGCAGAAATAATGTGCTCTAAAACGTAAAAGCATTAAAAAGGAGAAAGGGTACGCGTCGCGGATCAAATATTGTTCGAAGATAAAGTCACGACGAACACGGGAGCGCGTAATGCCGAAGGCCAGAG